ATAGATAGATAGATAGATAGATAGATAGATAGATAGATAGATAGATAGATAGATAGATGTTTTAAAAAAGAAAAGTTGTTCAAGAAAACATGCCTATGAGTAAGATACAAACTGAGCAGGGTATATTTAGGACTATCGATGGCTATGCATCTATGCGTGTCCCAACAAGTAGTCAAAAGAGAGCTCATGGATCTGAAAAAAGAGCAAGGAACGGGAGGAGCATATGGGAAGGTTTGGAAGGAGTAGAGGGGAGGAAGAAACGATTATCCTATAGTCTCAAAACTGGAAGAAACTTTTTTTAAAAATGTCATTTAAGAAACTGCAAGGACTGTGGTAAGAGTGAAATATCTTTCCTTTTCATGTGGTGCAAATTTCCTGCCATATACTCACATGACAGAGAGTCTAGTATAAAGCTGAGGAAATAAATTAGACAATGCTAGTGTAAATAGATTTATACCGAAGGACTACTGTTTTTGATTCACATTAAATATAGCATGAATTTTCATTTGGAAATTATAAATTACTGGCTCCATTCTAAAAAAAGCTTTACTCTGTTGCCTTAATGGTTTTACTGCTGATTTTTGTACAAGAATCATAATTATTACTGAAATATTTCTTTAAGTTCTCTTTATTTTTATGTTTCTTTAGTGATTGTGTGTAAGTATGTGTGAATATATGTGTATGGAGATTAGCGGACAATTTGTACGAGTCAGTTCTCTCTGCCATATGGGTTCCAGGGACTGAAAGCAAGTCCTTAGGCTGCTTAGTGGCAAAGTCTTTACCACCTCAGCCATCTGAAAGTCACTCCCATCATGCACCCCCATCTTCACCCCTCTGCCTCTGTTTTTGTTGTTGTTTGTTTGTTTGTTTGTTTGTTTTTTGACAAGATCTCACACCATAGGCCTGACATAGTCCAGGATGGCCTTAATCTCATAGCAATCCTCCTGTCTCAGCCTCTTGAGAGCTGATACTGCAGGCATCAGCTCCCTTGTCTAGTTTTAAAGTGATTTCTTTCTGACAGCTTTTCTCCCCTACCATGTCCCTTTCATGTTCCACTTGTATTGTGTTATCCTATTCAAGTTTGCTTCTCTGATACTATGAAAAAACACTGACCAAAAGCATCTTAGGGAAGAAAGGGTTTGTTTGATTTACAGCTTGGATCCCAACACTGAAGGAAGCCAAGGCGAGAACTCAGGCAGGGACCTGAAGCAGGAATCCTGCTTCCTGGCTTGTTCCCCTCTGGCTTGCTCAGATACATTTCTTATGGAGACCAAACCCTACATCAACTGCAATCAAGAAAATGTCCCACAGACATGCATGGTCACAGGCTAGTCTGATGGAGGTGATTATTTAATGAAAGGTCCATCTTCCCAGGTGTTTTCAGTTTCTGTCAAGTTGACAATAAAAAGTAACCAGTATACATGATTCACCCTACTACAGAAGACTTTAGTGAATTGATTCAGGTTAAATCCTTTGGAAAAAAATGCAATTTGTGCTAGGGATCTTTATAAATATAAAGATTATTGAAGCAAAATATTGATTTAAAAAATCACTTTCAATACGAGAATTTTATTAGATCCCAGGTCAAATTTGGCATTGAACGTTTGTCAGTGGATATGGCTAATATATCTGCCTTATCTGTGAACACTGATTTGTTAGAGACAATCTTTATCTCCATGTGTGAGTTCTGTTATAGAGACATAGGGTGGGAAATAGTTCTGATATATCCTGCATGCCTTCCTTCTGTAGAGTTATTGTATTATGTGGTGGCCTTTTCCCCTTCTAAAGCTATCCAACAGTTTAGTGCAGAAGTATGACACAGTTCTATTGTTAGTGATAATTCTTGGATTTGTGTCAAACTTCTAAATGAATGTTTCTGAACTCATCATGTCCCATTTTACTGCAGTTTTTAGTATGAATGAGACAATGTTCATTGTTAGTTCTGTTCTAAAACAACCAAGTATGCAGTGTTTCCGATATTCATCTGAGATATCTAAGCCTGACTTGGCAGTTAGTTAACACTTTTGTTGCTCTTGAGAGGACGCAGGTTTGGTTCCCAACACCCACGTAGGAGTTCACAACAACTGTCTGTAACTCTACACTCCCCTTCCAGGGAATCCAGCATCCTCTTCTAGCCTTTGAGGATATCAGGCATGTATGTGCATGTGTATACACACACACACACACACACACACACACACACCACAGGCAAACACTCATGTGTAAATGTATCTTTAATTTGCCTCAACTAATTGTAGTCTCAGAAGCTTACTGCCTCAGTCTGGTAACCTAGGCCTAGTCCTGGAAGTTTCTAGCTTCCATACAATCTTATCTAGACCCAGAATGTTTTCAGACTCTGAGACATGTTGCTGAATAAGCTCACTCCTTCCTAGTTCTTTCTGAGCTCTGGGTGGCTAGTTCTACTCAGCATTCTGGCTCAAAGTCTCTCTCCAAGCTGACTGATTTCATCTGGCTTCTTTCTCTCAGCCTCTCCTAAAATGCGCTGCTTGGCCTCATACTAACTTTAGCACTGTTCTAATCTTCTGGCTCCTTCTCATTCTGTCTCATTCTGTCGTCACCTGTATCTAGCCTGTTATCTCTCTGCCACCTGCCTCTGTACAACTGTTGCAGTAAAACTGCCTCCTTTCTCCGCACTCTCTCTAGTAGCTTCCCTTTCTTCTCTCATGAAAGTTGGACACATCATATTCTGTCAAATCTTTCTCTGATTTGTCACTTTGTCTGTCGTTCAACTAGACATCACCCTCAGACTTTGCTATTTCCTTCTGCAAACTAACTTTATTTTCACTGTTTGGGATTAAAGGTGTGTACGAAGGACTAGGCAAGACCACAACCAGAAACAGAGTTTTTTGGTAAATAACTCAATCTCGGTATTCACAGTGTGGTCAAATATCCTACAACACTCTTGCACATAAAATAAAAATAAATCTTTTCTAAAGTGTGGCAGAAATTTTGAAATGCAATATGATTCAGATAGATCAGCTTATCTTCATTTGTAGTTAACCACAGATATTATAGAAATTCTGTAGATGTTGCTTCTATAATAATACATTTTTGATGATCCAGACTATGTCTATAACAATTCCTATTTTGTGTAAAATTCCTATAAGTTCATATTAAACAGCCACTTTTCTCTGTTCATACTGTGTTCATACTGTGTACGCAGAGTGTTTTTACCTATTACTACCTTTATATGAAATTTACTGTGTCCTCATTCACTTATAGGCACAGCCAAATACTTTTTCCGCTACGTTTCTGTACCAATGTTTACTAGTGATGAGCTAAAGTCTTCTGCTATGTTCCGTAAACCATCAGCAAAAGCGCCAGTTGCAGCAAAATTAGAAATAACAGCCACAAAGAGACTAGAAACTCCTCTCAAAGGAGATGTGGAAGGACCAGCAATGATGAACATAGAAATCCCACCCAAAATAACAATTGAAGTACCCTCTCCAACAAAGTTGGAAGAACCAGCTGAAGCTGATGTGGAAGTAACACCTCGAAACACAGAGGACATCTCTAAAGTGAAAGTGGATGTTTCCAACAAGGTGGATACCAAAGTACCTTCTGATGAGAACATAGCAAAACATCCTAAACCAAATGTTGAAAAACTCCCCTTAGTGAGTGTGGATACCTCTTCAAGTCTTGAACCATCTCCCACAGTGAGTGAGGATTCATCCCCCTCAACGAGTATGGGATCATCCTCCTCTGTGAGTATGGAAATGTCTCCTGTTGTCAGCATAAATGCTTCACTTGAAACAAGCACGGATACCTCACCTGAATTAAGTATGGACTCAGGAAGTATGAAAGTGGCCTCAGAAGGAAAAACAGGAGCATCTCTTCAGGCCAGTGGAGAATCACACCTTGAAGCAAGTGTGAAAGTACAACCTGAGGCGAATGTTGAAGGATCACCAAAGGTGAGTGTGTAAGAACAGTCTTAGCAAGGGGAGTGTGCAAAGCATAGCCTAGACAAACATTAAGGCATCACCCACAGTGACTGCAGTGGCATTTCTTGAAGGAATGGTGGAAGTTTCGCCATAGGCAAGTGGGAAAATGCCTTCTAAGACTTGAAAACATCTCCCAAAGATAAAGGGACTCTCCAGAGATTTGTTAAGCAGTTAATGTGAGATGTTTCCATACTTTGAAGAAAAATATTTTTGAAGAATGTTCTGGACCATTCAGTGAGGTTTTAAAATTGAATTGGATTTGAAATAGATTTTTTAAGATATATTTTTATTTCTTTTATGTATATGAGTATACTGCTGCTGTCTTCAGACACACCAAAAGACTACATTAAATCCCATTACAGATGGTTGGGAGACACTATATGGTTACTGGGAATTGAACTCAGGACCCCTGAAAGAACAGCCAGTGCTCTTAACTGCTAAGCCATCTCTCCAGCCCCAAAGTAGATTTTAAAAATGTATTTCTGTGATATACTTGCATTGTGTAACCTCTTAATCTAGAAAATAAAAAGTATCTAATTTTCGTGAATTAAAAAAAAAATTGGAGCGGTGATGGCGTACGCCTTTAATCCCAGCACTTGGGTGGCAGAGGCAGGCGGATTTCTGAGTTCGAGGCCAGCCTGGTCTACAGAGTTAGTTCCAGGACAGCCAGGACTACACAGAGAAACCCTGTCTCGGAAGAAAAAAAAAAGACTTCAGGAACCATGACACTATTTTATTCAGAATATTTTCTTATGAAAAGATAGGTGTAGTATAACAATTGCTAGTAATTTTTTTTTTTTTTTTTTTTTTGGTTTTTCGAGACAGGGTTTCTCTGTGTAGCCCTGGCTGTCCTGGAACTCACTCTGTAGACCAGGCTGGCCTCGAACTCAGAAATCCACCTGCCTCTGCCTCCCAAGTGCTGGGATTAAAGGCGTGCGCCACCACCGCCCGGCTAATTTTTTTATCTTATTGAATTGGTATGTTCAGAATCCAGAAATGAACAGAAGAAACAACATAAACCTTACCATCAGGAAACAATCACCATGCCGCATACCATGTTACAGATGGCCATCATCTCCTTCCCTGGGAATGCGCTCACCTTCTCCCTTAAAGGCTATGTAAGTAACCTATTTGCAGTTACTCCTTATAAGAATTTTACTGAAACAAAGGCCATATCGGTATTTCCTACATGAAATAATATAGTGTATAAACTAAACAATTGCAAATGGGAAAAATGAAGTAGCTTTTACTTTGTTCTATAAAATTCTCCAGTAAACATTTCCTTGTAGTGTCCAAGTATTGCATTGTATAAAATTATAAACTAAAAAGTAATCCACACATGTTTGTTTCTTTGTCATGGCAGGCAGAATCGGAAGATACGACCTCCATCTCCTCTACCAGTCTCAGCAAGATTATCAACGAAGACTTCTCTGTCATATAAATTAACCCCAGTTCAGAACATCCTATATGTGCCAAATGCATTAGGTGTAATAGCAACAAAAAAAGAAACCATCCAAAAGCATATGATCAAAAAAGGTAAAAAAAAATTTTCCCTAGGGAATATATTTTAGCAACACAGAAAAATCATGAAGTACTTGAATCATCATAATTTTATTCCCTAGTTAACAGGACTTTGGAGAGTAGTCTTTGGTTTAAAGAGAATTAACCAAGCCCTGGTCCCCTGGAAGGCTTCTTCTCTGCTTGCTTATCCACTCCTCTGTTTGGAAATTTTATCTTTGGAACAATTGTTAAAAATTTAAGTAAATGACATGGTTGGTATATATTATTCTTGTGGCCCCTACCAGTTCAGATATTGGCTTTTTATTGGTGAGTTCACTTAGCTACCAGTGGATGAATATGTTTTATCAGATGTAGGCTAGTTTCCGTGTACATACATGATATGTGACATGTGCTAACTTACGCTGTATTCTTGTTCCTGAAGTACACCCTGTTACTTTGCCTGTCACATGCATTTTTATACATGTCAATACTATTTGATCTTAAGCATACTAGAGAATTTGGCTTTTATGAGAAATTCCAGTGAATTCTCTATATCAAATGATCTTTTGTTATGAATTACTTAATCTTGATGTCTTAAAGTTTTCATTTCTACATAGTTTATCCAATACAACAGAATTAGTTATATCAACTAAATATTATACCTCTCTGTGTTGACTCAGGCATGATGACACAGCTTTAATTCCAGCACTCAGGAGGCAGAGGCAGGCGGATCTATGAATTTTTGGCTGCCTAATCTACAGAGTTAGTTCTAGTATAGCCAGAATAATGCAAATAGTGAGACTCTGTCTGAAACTATATATAAATATATTTGAGATATAGAGAGATAATTAATATATATTTATATATTAAAATATGCCTTATTTTACTGATGGTCTTGGTTTCTTTTGTTACCTGCAGCTAGCCACTGTGTGATGATCACATGTATATCGAGAGTTGTCAAAGTTTAGGAACACAACAATAAAAATAATGTACAAATTCCACACATGTCAGATGTGATCTGTTTGGTTGAGTACTTAAGATTTTTACTTCTCATTTAGATCACACATAAACTTGACTTCTGCATATTTTAATCTTTCCTCATAGAGTCCTTGATTGACCTCTCTCTAAATAGTTAAGCCAAAGCAGAAACACACCGTTGCTTTTTGTATATTTGAATGTGCACTTGTTTAACAGAGACAACTTGCTAATTCTATTGGGAGGAGGTGGGGTTTGAACAATTTCCCTAATTAGCATTTAAATAATTTTGATCTGTGTGATGGTTTGAGTAAGCTTGACCCTTAGGAAATGGCACTATTAGGAGGTGTGGCCTCCTGGCAATTGGTGTGGCCTTGTTGGAGGATGTGTATCACTGTGTAAGTGGGCTTTGAGGTTCTATGTTCAGGCTCCGCCCAGTGGGGAAGAGACTCTCCTCCTAGCTGCCCATGAGAAAGTCTCTTGGCTGTAGTGGTATCATGATGCAGAACTCTCAGCTCCTCCGCCTGCACCAAGCCTGCCTGGACACTGCCATGCTCCCACCATGAACCTCTGAACCTGTAAGCCAGCCCCAATTAAATGTTGTCTCTTTACAGCAATGGAAACCCTAACTAAGACAATCTGTGTTCATATACTTTTTAATGTTGAGGGGGGGATTTCATTTACTTCTTTGTGGGATTGAGAGGAAATAGGTCCTCTAATCAACTGTTTGACATGTTTCTTTAAACTAGAATCTTGTCATAAAATTATGCCAAGTGGTGAAGCGGCCAAGAAAGCTTTGATACAGGTACACCATGCTGCTTATGAACAAAAAGGCAAAAAGGAGAAAGAAAGAGTCCAAAGAGAAGAGATAAAGCAAAGGTCAGCAAACAATCCTTTCTAGCCTGGAACCTTGCGTGCAAGTTCAAACTTTGAAATTTTGCTCTCAAATTCAGTTTCAAAATGGCAATTTATTTTTTCTTCACTGAGGAAAAGTCTGTCATTGTCTTCTAATCAAGTAAAGGAAGTATAGTGTGATGAGAAAGGAAAGAAAGGAAGGAAGGAAAGACTGAAGAAAGAGACAAGGTAGTGGTGGCACACGCCTTTAATCTCAGCACTCAGGAGACAGAGGCAGGCAGATTTCTGAGTTCGAGGCCAGCCTGGTCTACAGAGTGAGTTCCAGGACAGCCAGGGATACACAGGGAAACCCTGCCTCAAAAAAACAAAAAACGATTGGGGGGGGGGAGAGAGAGAGAGAGAGAGAGAGAGAGAGAGAGAGAGAGAGAGAGAGAGAGAAGAGGAAAGAGAAAGCAAAAATGGAAACTACTTAGAAAGGTACCAAACTGAACAGAAACACATCCTTTTCAGTCTCCACACATCCTGCACCATTAAGGTGTGGTAGAACAATGTAAAAACAACCCAAAATCATTTTCAGGATTCCATCTCAGCAACAGCACCTAGATGACCACATAGCATTTCTATTCACCTTCATGGGAAGGACAAAAAGACAGGGACAAGGGTCAAGGGTGAGGAGACAAGAGACAGAAAGATACAGGCAGATATTGAAAGATAAGTGAGATTGATCGTTATGTCGCCAGGGTCTCATTTTAGTCAATAAGTTATTCCTAGAAGACTGTTCCACTGGCAAGGAATTTCAAGTTCAGCTGTGTTCACTTGAATTTGAAATGTTCTTGCTCTTCCACCTTGAGACACATTTTATGTTGTATCTTGTAATCTAAATTCCTGTCCACTAAGTGTACAAAATTCAGTACTGTATTTCTAAGTAGCAAATGTTTACAGTACAATTGCTTAGAAAAAAGATACTTTGAACAGCAAGAAATTTATAACTTGAAAACTATTATTCCTTGTCTTATGCAAACAGAGATAATCTAGCCCTTGAAAGCATTGAATACTGGCACACAGTTAGACCCTCCTCCAGATTACCTGCCGTCCCTAGGTCAGATTGATGTGTTCATATCTAAAGACATTAAAGAGTCTATCTCTAAAATAATTAAAGGCTGACTGACTATTTTTCTCTTGCATATGTGTATAAAGTAGTGTGGTGCTTATTAGAAATCCTTTTGTATGCCCAAAAGTGTGCCTCCCTCATTTAAAAAGGGTGAGATTATATAACCCTTGGATAGTAAGAACCCAGAAAATATAGCAAATCTGCTATATATGTAAATTGTATTACTATACACAAGCAATTTCACTATAAATGCTTATATAGTCCTGCAAGTTATATATACTACCAGCTAAAAAATACTAAAGTTAATTTAATACCCTCAGCATTGCTAGGAAATCAGAAGTTATGGCAGAGAAACTGAATGAAGTGCCAGCACAAGAATCCTCACCACACAAAGATGAGCAACAAGAGAAAGATCCAACACTTCTTCATCCACCAGAAGACCAGAAGGAACAGCTACAGGTTGGTGAACTTGACATTTTAGCAGCACAGGGAACCATTTTAGAAACTGCATTTGCATTAGAAAGTAGCTGTCTGGACCACTGAGCAGACACAACATTCTCTGGCTGCCGTTTTACATTACGGTCTTCAAAAACCACATTGCCATAGCCTAATTTATAGTTTCAGCTTTAGTGTATCATTCATCAGAACTAGTTGCATGTAAGCTTCTTAAAAACTTGTATATATACCTTGGCAGGAAAAGTTTATACATTTTTCCCATAGCTTTTAAGAAATGTAAGAAAGTTAACTCCTTGCCATGTTAATAACTCGAAAACAGGTACTTTTTTTGTTTTGTTTGGTTTTGTTTTGTTTTTTTCCGAGACAGGGTTTCTCTGTGTAGCCCTGGCTGTCCTGGAGCTCACTCTGTAGACCAGGCTGGCCTCGAACTCAGAAATCCACCTGCCTCTGCCTCCCAAGTGCTGGGATTAAAGGAGTGTGCCATCACTGCCCGGCTGAAAACAAGTACTTTTAAAGAGGGGTCCTTAACCAGTGGGGGTCATAGATCAGACATTCTGCACATAAGATACTTACATTGCAGTTCACAACAGTAGCAAAATTATAGTTCTGAAGTAGCAATGAAATAATTTTATGGTTGGAGATCACTACAACATAAGGAACTATATTAAAAGGTCACAGTATTAGGAAGATTAAGAACTACTGCTTTATACTAAGGTAGGCAGATCACAATAACCTCAATCTGTGCTTTTTAACAAGACTTTGAAAATGGATAATAAATGTTCGGCAGGCTTGCAACTAAAATTTTCTTGTTATTCAGATATAATTAAATTAGTGATATTTTTGCACAAATTTTCTAGAAAGGGGACAGTGCCATGATGAAATCTCAGGACAGTGCTGAACAGCGAAAGAAGGAACAGGAAACAATTATGCTACAAAATTGGCAAGAAAGATTAGAAAGGAGAAAGGTAATTTTCTGTTTTGTGTGCTTTGTGTTAGTTAATGTTGGGTGCAGGTTATGACATTTTTTTCTCCAAATCTTGAATCAGGTGTGTGTTAGTCCTCAGCTGTGTGCCCATTGTGCTTGTTTATCCAAAGGAACCGACTTCTCTACAAAAAGGCTGTTGTCCTTTTATTGGCTGGCATTTTAGCAATGTCTCAATATACCACACCTGTAGGATCAATGGTCTCTTTAACAGGATGACTCTAGGCTTACAGAGGTTAGCCGAAATTAGTTTCTTCTAAATTGGGCTGGATTTGCAGTACATATGGTGGGAAGAAGTGGAGGCCTCTTTGAAAGGCCAAAGTTTGGATTGTTTATAAGGTAGGGCATCATTTTATGTAACTCTATGCAGTCCCTGCCTGGGCTGGGGTACTGCAAGGTCTCCATCACTCCAAGGCAGTGAGCAAACCAAAACTCTCCTCACCTTATGCAGTTGAGAGAATTCCTACTCCTCCCTAGAGAACATCCTTCCTCTGTCTTCTGTTGGTTTGGGAACAAGATCTCCATGAAACTGCAGCATCACTGAAGTGCATTGTTTTCATTAGTGTTTACTGCAGCTGTGGTCTAAGAGTTCTAATTAGTTTGCAATGATATGTGTTTAGTCCAACATGAATTTCCGTGCATGTGAAAAGGGGAACATGGGATTGCCATTGGGGTGTTTGTGTTGTTGTAGTAAGAACAACTGCTGCGTTTCACAGCATTTGGTAGATGAAACTAGAACCATAAGAGGAACCCAGCTGCTGCCCCGAGACTTATGTTAAGTGTGTGGTTTTGTTTTGGGACAGTCACAGGCATTGCCTGTTATACAGTGGGGTAATCAATTGTTTCAGGGACACTGTCTTTTTTTTTTTTAAATCTCTTTCACATTTACATTTTTATTTCCCTTTAAATAGAGGGTTGAGGAAATAATGAAGTGGACAAGGAAGACAGATGTGAATACCTCTAAGGTAGTCTCCACTCACACCTGACTGTATATGACTTCCTCTTGCTTCCTGCTCTTGGTATCTCTTCATTTTTACCAGTCTGCTGGTAATGAAATACAGTGTCACATTTGTATGTCGCTGGTCCTTAAAAACCCAGTGCTTGCTTTTCTAACTCTAGTTGTGTGAAATGCTTGCTTAGGTCTTCTTGCCTAAAACTTTGGATCAGTTTGTCTTTTTCTTATGTTTTTTAATAGTTCTTTGAATGTTCTAGATCCCATTTTTGTGGTTGTTGCTGCTGTTGTTATATGTTTGAGGCTGTCTTCTCGCAATCTGTACCTTGTCTTACTATCATTTTCTGTTAGGGAGACGCTCCTAATATTAATTGTGATAAACATTGTCTGATAGCTTAAACACTTTTTATGCACAAGCACACTAGTTAATCTTAAAATACCTTTGCTAACTCAATGACTAGGCACTCCTAAACCTCCCCTGCTACCCCAGGCATAAGCGGATATAGAGTGACCATTGGCCACTACAACTGAAAACTCAAATAAATGACTGGTTGGCTTTATCTCCTATTACTACTGCCTCCTCCTTCCTCTTCCCCCTCTCTCCCTCTCCCATTCTTCCTGCATCCTCCTGTGCAACTCTAAGTGTCCCTTCCTGTCCTCAGTCATTGGTCGCTGGTATCTTTATTAATTGATCAAGAACCAACTGGGGAACAGGACCTTAGCATCAGAACCACCCCGTACAGAGAAGTGCTTTGAGATACCACCTCAAACCTCATTTGACTCATTGATTTTTTTTATGACAACACCTGCTCCCTGCTCTCGTGGTCATCTTGCTCTTTGCTTACTGTTCCCACCCTGGGAATGTTCACTAGCATTCTAAGTAGAGGATGAATATGAGGTGAGGGCTGGAGGCCTTGAGGCTTTGCCTGCACTCTTGTTCAAGGAAACAGTTCATTTTTAAGTGTTGCCCTAGCTGAAAAAATTAAGGCCACCTGCCTGTCATGAGGCCAGTTAAGGAAATTGATACTTTTTTTAACCTTTTATTTGAAATGCCAAAAATTTGCCATCAACATAATCTTTTATTACTTCTTTAAGATTCTAGACCAGGATGATTAAATATATATAATCATGACTTTCTCTGCTAACCACAGGTTTCAGAAATATCTTCTTCATCCGATGATGAAGCTGATGATGAAGGTGAAACAGGAAGTGAAGACTCTCTTGAGATGTTTCCATCAGGTTTGCTTGTCCCTCATGGTTGCACACATGAGCAAACAGTGATACTACTGGAAGAAGATTGGCTTTAAGAAGCCTGCTGAAAATGCAGACAGAGTACAGTGCCTAGAGCCTGCTTTTGAATGAGACGAGAGTTGAAGGCAGACAGGAGCATGTGAAGTCAAACCAGACTCAAAAGCAGAATCGTCTAGGTGGAAGATTGGGGGGTGGGGGTCAAGGGTAGGAAGCAAGGCTGACCTTTGGCACATCAGCCCTTACTAGCAAAGACGACAATTCCTTAAAGATGTGTTCCCTATCATCACCAGTGAATTAAGAGCCAGGCAAATGAATGCACATGCTGGGTAGCCCTCAACTGGCCTGGTATGTTGAGGCTGCTCAGGCTGAGGCTGGGCCTCTTTGCCCAGACTAATGCTTGTCTTGTCTCAGGTAGGGACCCCCATCCTATCACACCAGGATCAGAAATTTTGATTTCTCTTGTCTTTGTTGTTCAAGTTCCAGCTTTCATGATCTTCTCTCCTCTCCAGGAGGAAAAATGTTATCTATGAAACTCAAAAAATTTCACAAATATGCCAAGATAAAGCCTCAAAAACTTGTATTTTTGCAAGCAGGAACTGGTGAGATTGATACTGACAAAAATGTATATTTTAATGGGAACATGAAAGTTGTCAAACAGAAAGATACCAAATATTCTACAATTCAAGGAAAAGGCTCAAAGTAAGTCTCTTAGCACCTTATTCATCCAAATAGAAGTGGGGAAAGTATGGATGATATCCTTAGAATCCTGAACAACATTAATTACTGATTGAGCACTTAGTTTGCATACACTAAACATGTCAAGCACCCAACTTAATGGAAACAAAAATAATGCCCACAGTAGCCTCTCTGGGCCAAGAGCATCACCCCCATCTTTTATAGACAATGAAACTGAGTTACACAGAGGCTTTAGACATTATTGGGCCAAATTCAAACCTAGATTAATCTAACATCAACTGGACATAGTACTACCTGAGGACCCAGCTGTGTTTGCATGATAAATGTGGACTCGTTTATTGGGTGTATAAAACAGACACCTGCCTTCATTTTCACTGCCACTCAGAGACTGATAATCATATGCTTCTTTCACATATTGGTAAGCAGGCTCAGAGGTTATGTTGGAAAAGTAGGAACTGGTTGTTGAAAATGAACATTGCCCAGATGATAGCCTGAAAGATTATGCAGCTCTGAGGCCCACTAGAGTGTGAGAGTGTGTGTGTGTGTGTGTGTGTGTGTGTGTGTGTGTGTGTGTGTGTCTGTCTGTCTGTCTGCTAAGAGGCTAGGTTCTGGGAACAGTATCAAAGGGCTACATTCAACTCTTACACCAGTTCTCTTACCATCTGTGACCTTGACTGACTTTAAGAAAGGCAGCAGGGAGCTAGAGAGATGGTTCGGTGGGTAAAAGCACTTATGGTGCAAGCATAAGGACCAGAGTTCAAATCCCAGCATCAAAAAGCCAGGTGTGGCTCCATGCCCACCTGTAGCCCCAGTTATGTGATCCAGGAAATAGAGATAGGAGGGTCCCTAAGGCTGCCAGTTTAGCTTCAGGTTCAGTGAGAAGAGAGAGCCTGTTTGAAAGGAATGAGGTAGAAAATGATAGAGTATTCCCTTTGGCATCTTTAGCAGATGGCACATGTACACGCACAAATACACATGCGGTTCCTGGGTTTGAACATTCTCAGTTGCTCTTGTGCCATGATGTCTCCAGGATATCTAGGATACAATTTGAATGACACTGTGTTCTGTGATCTACATGGTCCCTCTGGCCCATCTCATTCTAATATATGGAAAGGTGATTTATTATATCCAAGGCACTTCTCAGAAGTTATATGATAAAGCACGGTTTTGGAATAACCAGGATTCTAACTACAATATTTCATTCCAGGTTACCACCTAAAAAACCACCTACCCGCCCAATAAGAAGCAGAAAAATAAAGGAAGGCAGAACCGCCATCCGTCCTACTCAAAGTGTCACCACCAATCATGAGTGGGTTTGTGACAAGGTTATAGACCTTAGTCAGACCACTGAATCACTAAAGACCACTCCTGGTCGCAGCAAACAAAGTCCAACGGAGTCTAAGATATCTCGCCTAGGTCCTCAGGCACATTTGGACCATAAGAAAAGAGCCAAAGCGGTTTCTGCCCCTTTAACCAAGGTTTTGTCCCACCTTCACATAGCTGGAAGAGCAACTAATCTTGAACATCATCCCTTTGCTTCCAGCTATTCCAGACTGGCATTTGGAGGAGAGGGAGAAGAGAGTGGTGAGTCTGCAGGAATGATATAGAAATTTTTTCCATTAAGTTAGATTTGAGAGAATATACGACTTTATAATAATTTCTATGCCTTGCATCTCCTGCCTCATATAAAATATAAGTCCTTTTCAAGAGCTGGCTTTTTCTGAGCTCCTGCTCCTCTGGCTGCCAGACTAGTACAGTAGAGGACAGAGAGAAATCTTTACAATTTATTTTTCATCTTGTATTTCCCAAACCAAAGGGCTGTTGTTTTTCTCTTTAAGAGTTTGTTAGCCAGGTGGTGGTGGTATGTACCTCTAATCCCAGCACTTAGGAGGCAGAGGCAGGCGGATCTCTGAGTTCAAGTCCAGCCTGCTCTACAGATCAAGTTCCAGGACAGCTCAAAAAAAACAAAAAGTTGTCAGGGCTGGGAAGATGGTTGCCAGGTAGCCTTTAGGGCTTGAGTTTGATGCCCAGTACTCATGTACAAAGCCAGGTGTAATCTCAGCACTGGGGAGGCAGAGACAGGAAGATCCCTACGGTTTGCTGGCCAGCCAGTGTAAGCCGAGTCAGCCCCAGATTCAGTGAGGCCTTTATTAAAAAGAAAAAAAGTTAAAGAGCTAATAGAACATAGCATGCATGCCCACCTACCCCCTCCTCCACAAAATACCTCCTCTTGTCAAAAGCATTGTGGGCTCTTTGGCCATTGACGAAGTAAGCAGTTAGAAAAGAGTATCAGGGTGTCATAATGCAGAGGCCTTGGTCCAATAGTCAGTCACCCCAAATGGAGGCCAGGGGTGAGTTCCCATGCCATCATAAGCCCCTAATCTACTGTCTTTTTTTTTCACTTTTCTTCTCTGGTTAGATGTATAAATCCTGTGAGGCCTTGAAGATTGATCATCTTCCATTCTATATTAAGACTCCCAAGGCCAAGACTCAAAATTGCCTCCTTTATACTTGAACCTGGCAAAAGAAATAACCTGTCAAAAAAAAGGAAAAGGAAAACAGACAAAAAAAAAAAAAAACCATCCAACAGTCACCTTGAGAAAATGTTAATATCACTAGAGTTTTAAGTAAAGAAGGTTTGTTTTCCTTGAAAAAACATTTCTGTTGTCTCTTTCTTGGGTTTTCTATTCAGGAGTGTGTGCTTCAAGGGATTCCTCAATGAGTCTCTATGACAGGATCTATTTAAAACCCTAAAATAGTTTCTTCTATTTATTAGTGACACTGCTTCAACAACTAGAAACCCAGCTTGATCATGTAGAACATAAATTGTATGAGGAATTTGGAGTGCTCACAAGACTTGTGTCGGAGACTTCCTAATGTACACCAAAGGTTCCATAACAGCACACTACTGCCTATCCACATGTGCCCTTTATAATCCGGCTCTCATCCCTGTCCTGTGCTGATGCTTCCAAATGCCAGAATCTGAAAATAGAAGCTTGGAACCCTCAATGTCTTTCACATTTTCATCAGTGGTTTGTCTTGAAGCACATAAGAGGCTTATACACAGCGTCCATTATTCTGTTGCATACATAAAGCAGTACTTGGATCTTGTCTCATGGAGTGTGATGAATTACATTAAATATTGTGTACTTACAGGTTTTTTTCTGTCTTGATCCTGAAGCCTGTCCTGTAGTATACACTCAAGCTTGCCTTTTTCTAGGCACTTGTGACACAGGAAGACAAAAGAAGCGCTATTCTTCAGTTCCAATGCAGGCACACGGATGTATACACATGCACATTCACACATGTAGCCCACCCCCACACACAAACACACTTGTGCGCACCAGCACACAATGTGATTCCATAAAACGAGGACACATATTCCTTGTCCTAACACCAATGACATTAAATGTTGAACCACAAATAGTTTAAAGCAGGCAGGCCAATGTTCCTTTGGCCATCTATCTTGGATTGGCAAAAGGAGATAATTACATTTTCTGATTCTTGGTCCTTGGTTATTATGTATTATGGCAGGATGCATTGGGTCTAAAAATATTTTCAGATTCGGGTTCTTACACGTAGAGAGCAAAAGGCAATCGTCCTGAAAGACAAGCTTCTGATATTTCTCTACATGTGCTGAAACACTTTAAGTATGTGCCATATGACATAAATGTCTCAGATAAAACAAGCTTTGTTTTCATTATGATAGTAAAGATGCAGTGATACCAAGTGTCAAGCAAGATATGAATACAGGGTCCTGGCAAGTCCAACAAACAATAAGATCTTTATCTTTCTCTATTCATCTAGATGGTGATTATGCAGACTTTCAGGTTTAAAATAGAAAAGTGTGTCTTCAAACCCTGTTCTTTGTTTCAGTTTCCTTTTGTTTTTCTGAGACAGGGTTTTACTGTATAGCCCTGGCTGTCCTGGAACTCTTGTAAACCAGACTGGCCTTGAACTCAGAGATTCCCCCTGCCTCTACCTTCCAAGTGTTGGAGTTAGAGGTGTGTGCCACCATTTACTGCCCAGCAGAATTTTGGTCTTTATTTCCCGATTGAGCTATTATAGCTGAGGCCCATTGTTAAAGTAAGTTTTGGTTTTATTGTTTTGTTTCTACTATGGTGAAATTCGTGTAATAATCTCCCCTTCTTCCCTCCCTTCTCTTTTCTTTCTTTTGTTAAGTCTGGATCTTGCTGTGTTGCCAAGTATAGTTGTAAACTTATTTCAAGCTGCCTTCTGGCTCGTGTAGCTCCCACGGAGCTGCAGGTATAAGCCACTTCACCCAGTTACCCACATATGTACTACTGAGGCTCTGCGACCGTCCCCACTGTCTCCTTTCAGAACATTCTCCTTTTAACCCTTCGATTTGGTATCTTCTTCTGATGAGGAAAACATGACAGGTTTTGTGTGTACATGTGAGTGTGTGAGTGTATACACACATGTATATACACATGGCAGGCAGACATCAGTCTTGTGTCATCTCTCAGGAGCCACTCACTTGCTTTTTGAAACAAGACCTGAGCCCTACTGAGTAGGTTAGTCCGGCTGGGCAACCAGCCCCAGAGCTGTACCTCCCCAGCACTGAGGTTACAAGCATGAGACTCCCACAAATCAAGGTTTTAGGTGGGTGCTGGGAATAAAACTCGAGTCTTAGTGCTTAAGAGAAAGTACTTTATCAACTGAGCTCTCTCTCCAATGTGTAACTTTTTAAAAACTGCTTTATAAATCTATGCTGAGTCCGTTGGTATGTACTATACGTATTGCTTCATGGTATAATTGTGTCTACTTAGGACCTGATATGCCTGTATAATTTTGAGCTTCCATTATCAGCACCACCATTAATGTGAGTGTAGGAACACACAGGCTACAATATGTATGGAGTGGTCAGAGAACAACTTTTGGGAGGAGTCAGTTCTCTCCTTCCACCTTTACATGGTTCCAAGGATTGCGTATCATGTGTTTCACCCAGTGAACCATTTCACTGGCCCAAGGTTCTAATCTTTAAATATGGTTTGTCCAGGCACTGTGGCACCATGCCTGTAATCCCAGCACTCTAGGAGACTCCAGCAGGAACATAGGGAGTTCCACTGAATGAACAAATCAATTCAATGTGCTACTCATGCTTTACCTCAGTAAGTTTTACTTTTTATACAGTTGTCCCTTATTTATCCCTATTCTGAAATGGTGTTTATAAGGCTGTAGCAGCCATTCCCCACTACAGCTTATAGAGTAAGTGGAAGATACCGACGCAGTGTGTCCAGTACTGAGGAGAGAAGCCTTGCTAACACTGATTGCATGTTTCCCCATTACCAGGAGCTCTTAAGCTCTCCTGTGACTGTGCCATAGGCACACAACTTTGAAATAAGCCATTCTATCTCATTTTAAAAATGAAGAAACAAGCTTGGTGAATTGTCACCTGCCCAGGATGTGAACCCAGGCAACCTTACTTCAGTCCTCACCCTGATAGATCTGTTCTTGTTTTAATGATGCTTCTCTGTTGACAGAGATGTAACCCCATTTCTCCTGAGCTCAGTCACGCAATAAACAGGCAGGTGTCTTCTAAACTAGTAGATATCCTGATGACGTTCCTTACTGGTATGTCCATTTCTGTGAAGGTACAGTGTCATAATTGACAAATTAATAATATGCCCAAAATGACCTCTCTCCTATGAGCTGTGTAACAAGCTCGGAGCAAGTTTAATCTCTCTGAGCCTGTGCTTTTCTTATCTTGAAGATGGGCACACACTTGTGAGATTAGACCCCGTGTGTAGGACCTGTTTGCTTCTGAAGACCAGTGTTAGGGGCAAGCAACTGCAGAGACAGATGCCTGGTGGGTCTGTTTCTTGGGTGTGGAAGGATATTTTGTTGCAGACTGTGAACCAAGTGGTTTTGGGTATTTTAGGCCGTGTAGCTTTTTCTTTCTTTTTCTTTCTTTCTCCCTTCCTTCCTTCCTTCCTTCTTCCTTTTTTTCTTCCTTTTTTTCTTCCTTTTTCTTCTTTTTACATATCTCTATGAGTACACACCAGAAGAGGGCACCAGATCCCATTACAGAAGGTTGTGAGCCACCATGTGGTCACAGGAAATTGAACTTAGGACCTCTGAAGATCAGCCAGTGCTCTTAACCACTGAGCCATCTCTCCAGCCCCCAGTGTACCTTTTCTTTAGCTTGTGTGGTGCAGAGGCATGGCCTCAGAAACTTGCATAGGTGCTCTTCACTGGTTTAAAGGTGTTTCCACAGGTAATTTCTCTAAAAAGAGACACTCCCAGAGGGGATGGTCCGCATTCTTAACAGTAAATCTATAGCACAACAGACAAACAGGGCTTGAGGTGGATTCTGACAAGTTTCCACCCTCATCTGAGATGGCAAATGCTTCAGCTGAACAAGAGACCACCCTGACCCCATTATTTCTCAAGATTCTGACATCCACCAAAAAACGACATTTTAAAAACATTTTGCCAGGGCGGGGCTTGGGGTAGCCTAACACTTTGCCGCCGCAACAATCCACCTTTAGGTGATGTGTAGCTTATCAAAGTGTCAGAGGCCTTTGGAACCTCTTATGGGAGGAAGAGCTGGGCACAGAAAGTGAGCACAGCAGGCACCCATTGCCACTGGCCTCTTAAAATAACCCCTGAGACAGAGAAAGGGTGGGTGGGTAAGAATATGAGCTTCAGGTGGTCCAACTGCACGGACTGCACACTATCTCAGGCCAGCCTGCTCTTCCCTGTCTCTCAACAGAAGATGGGCTCAAAGCACAAGCCAGGTAAAGGTAGGGAGGACGGAGGTGAGCATACAACAGCCAATGGGAAAGGACTAGAGGGAGGAGGACTCGTGATTCCTTCTCAAGCGGCCTCATTTGGGATTCTCTTCCTGCCTGTTTTGTCCTTGCCTTTTGTGACACTTGGAAATCCAGGAAACACCCTGAGGCGGTTTTTGTTTTGAAAACTGGATCACAGTGGTCCTACAGGTTTGTACATTGCAGTGAACTATTTCCTTGAAGTCAGGAGCAAAGTCCCCAAGTTTCTGGAAAGATATATTACATTCTCGTGCTTCCTTTAGGCAGAATAAAGAGACAGGAGGCATGCTCTTTCTATGCTGCTTTATTTTTGTAAGGATACAATCAAACATTACATGGAAACAGCTAATGACAAATATGGAAATGAGGTGTTGGTATCTACAACCACTCCTACAGTAATATATGAGTGTGTATTTTCATTACATCTTTACTTTGATATTGGCTCGTTATATATGTAAAATAATGGAGAGTACAGTTAAGTAGGCAATCCTGCGTTTCAGAGGAAGAGGAGGAGAAAACCCAGTCCTGCCTGTGAAAGATGCTGACCACCCAAGACAGCCCCAGAGATCTAACTAAACTCTGGAGGCAAAGTTCTAAGAATCACAAGAAAAGGGACTTTGCACTCTTCCTGAACGCAGACAATGAGCAGACAACGGTTATGTTACAAGGACTTCACCTTGTCACTGCTTTGAAATGTATTCTTGATGACAGTCCTGTGCCTGCTCAGCTGCCGCTCTAAAGTGTTTGTCACGTCTACAGGATGAATCTCAAAACTGCAGGAACGTTTG